TGAAAATCACAATCCATTGGGAGCCGGTGTCCAGTTCATCGGATCATACGACTTTCGGACGGGGTCAAACGCCCAAGGTGCCCAATACACCCGGATGTCGGTTTTTCATCCTCTCACTTTGGTGGGAAAACCTCCGTCACGAGAAGGCAGTGAATAGGACTTCCTCAGCAGAATTGGCTATTTGAGACGCTTGTCGTATGGGAGCATTTCGCGATGTGCAAGGAAAGGGTGACCATCCGTAGCCGTAGACACCCACCTCCGACCATACTGAGGTTTTTGGAGGCAGAATTAGAACGCCCCTTGTTCTTTGTATTTACTGAAACCTACAGACTTTGCACTTTACATCAATAGATAGATAGACAGATAGGCAATGGTATTTTAGGTGGTAAGGTGCGTAAAACCTGCTGCTATGTGAGCTGTCCACTACCCGGCTCGTCCTGAAGAATGCGAGAAAGGTTACCCAGAAAGTTAACCCCGAATAGTTGGTCATAGTTTCATTGAATAAGTGGTCGCAGACGATCTGGGAACATGATGTGTACTCGCTTGATAGGCGATCGGTGAAATAAACTCACAATGTATGTAGAAAGTGTTGGAACATGTGTGAATCAGACCGGGTACCAAATCAAACCTTTGCCATTAGCCTGTTGTTCTACGCGTGTCTGTTTGAGGACCAGCGATACGTCCTCTTAGAAGCAATTTGATTCCTACTGTAGATGCTAATTTGTGGCCGAATTTCAAGATTTTTCACAGATTCCTCTTTAAAAGTCAACTTGTACTCACGTGGGGAACAGTTGTCTCCAAAAGGGATACAAACAAACAAACCATCGATTTATTGCCGTCTGATGCAGTACCATACTAATCCCGTTTATTTCTTTCCTGGTTGCTCAATTTCAACGTCTAAATGTAGTTGAACAACATTCATCAATGTCCGGTAGATCTGCCTCACGGTTCGGTTTATGCCTTCCGCAATACCTCACTTTGGCGTGTAACCACAAACGTATCACCCATCGCATGTGTTTTTGGAACTGCATATTGATCTTTTCACACGAAATATTCAAGCTTAAACATGGTCTCTGTTCATTTGTCTTCTTCAGCATCATCGAAAGAAATTGGAGGGTCGACGTCTTGATTTCGATTGCAAGAAAAGGAAACAAGACCGAGGTTGGTGTTCATTATGACATGCTTCAGTGATTATGTTTTTCGTTCGTAGTTGTGACTGTGCTTCGAATTTCCACTTCCTCAAAAAACAGAACTAGTATGGTTGATACTTCGAAAACCTCTTTCTCGAGTGAGGTATTCCGAATGATAGGTTCCGAAAAAGTTGGAGACCATTTCACACCGTTTGTTTGTTTTTTAGATACGTGCCGACACCCATCAAGATAGGATCAAAAGATCCACCAGTGTTGGTGTTGGTGAGTTCTCCGAGCTGGAAGTGTTGTTCGCAGACCAAGCTAGGCAATATCATCACGTGCTTGGATTGGCTACAAAACGTCTGCGAACAACACTTCCACCTCGGAGAACTCTCCAACACCAACATCCCCATCTCGAGCTATAATCATTCCACATCATTCCAGTTCCATCAGTGCATGTTGCCAGTCGCTCTAGTTTGTTTGTACGACAAACTATGTGTTAACTGTTCGCCTGCACAAACTTTGTATATATTCATTTTACAATACCAACAGCCTCTAATCTGCCAAAACTGATATGGCCGTTTGCGCCTTAGACGTATGAGAAAAACACTGTTACGATTGATTTGTCGATAGCATCAAATTTAGTGTTTTTTTCTTTTCGAGAAGGATAGTCGCCACAAAATTTCCTTGTCCACTGTGTTCTCCTTCCTCATCCCTTGCTATCTTCCCCACCCTCTCAATCCGACCGTTTCACTTGATCCGTAGCATGCATATTTGATAATCGTCATTGATGGTGGACCTATTTGATGTGGGGAAAAACATACTCCTATTCTATTTATCACTTCCTGTCGTGCCCGTCCTCATTTCGCCCAATCATACGTGCAAAGTGCCAATGAATTGAACATCACTGGTAAATAACCTTAATTCATTCACCGATTCACATCTGAAAACAATTTCCAGGTTGACAAGACGCGCCAAATTCACGTCTGGGAACGTTAACTGAACTCACCCCATATCGCGTTTGATGCGCATTTGTTCGTTTCCTTACCGATTTCTCCGCGTGTTTTTTTCTCTCTGGTTCGATTACATTTCTGTGCCATAATCGTCGATCTCGGTTCAGTGCTTTTCAATTGCTCACCAGAACCGTTACCGCTGTTATTCGTTGATCGATTGCTCAGGGGTGAATGGTTCAACTTCTAACCCCTAAGGACTCACGTTAGCGCCTCTGTAGGGACGTCAAAAGGTGTGCGCACTGATTTCGAGTCTCAGCAAGGACTAAACAGCTACCCTGTGTCCTTTGTGAACCCGTACACGTTAGTTTCCATCGCTTTCATTCTGTGGGTTTTGAACTAAATGCGGCAACCATATATATATGAAGATTATGTGCAATGCTATATACCTGTGAACGATTATGTTCCGTTCGTCTCAATGGGTGTATGGGACTAAAATTCGGTCCGAACAGTGGACCAACAATCGATACGTCAGCAACTAAGACTTTTAGCCGAGAACATTGTGTAACAGTTCCATGGAAGCTCTCATATGAATGCTTTGGTCACATCCTCTCATTGGATCTACTCCCCACTGCTTTGTGGGTTAAACTTT